TATCTCGGTGGAGAATATAGAGTACTTAGTTCTAGCTTGTATCCTTCTTTAGAGAACAATCAAATGACTTAAACAAACTATCACTTAAGAAGAATTTTTTTGTAAGAACTAAAAAACAATAAAAATGATTTTCTTTTTACATTCCATAACTTTAATTTTCAAATTTAAGTGAATTCATTGAATAAAGCTACAAGCTTTACAAATTATTATTTGGCTTAACTCAAGAGTTAATCAAGTTGCTTGTGAGATCCATATTCAGACTAATTCGTATACTACTTGATCGCACGTGCACTTAAGTGTGATGTGTGTTATTTGCACAGTAGATCATGATGATATTTTATATATTATTTTGTAAATTATTGATTTTGACCCTTAATCTACATGTATTAATTCCAAAGGTGGAAAAGATAAATGATTGGATTGATTAAAGATGAAGGTTGCAAATTAGTGATTATAGATATATCTTTAGCTATATTATAATCATCTTAATATTATATATTGATGGATGTAGAGATTCATATCATGATAGCTATATAAGAACTCTTTTAACTATTTAGTTTTATGAAATAATTAGAAATGATTTTAAAGATTGTTTGTTTTAATGTATTTCTGATAACATATTAATGTTTCTATATTATAGTAAATAATTGATTAAAAATATCGTTTTAAATAGATTATAGATAATGTTTATTGCTTTGTGTTCAACATAGATTTTAGGTAAAGTTTATTGCTTTGTAGTCAACAAAATATAACCTATTCTAGTATAAAAACTAAGTCAATTTGGGTCTTGACTAGTGACCTTCATTTGAACAAAAAATAATTTAAAAAATCTTAATAATCAAGAAAAACTTTTTTTATTTAAGGAAATTTACCTAATGTTAAACATGAATTGAACATGATTTCTTTATTATAAATGATTGGCTTAGTAAAATATTGGTTGATATTGGCAAGAGGGAACAAAGGGAAAAGAAGATTATCGAGGATTATTGTGTAAGGAGGGAAATTTCTTTTATTTTAACATTAAGAGAATATTTAAAATCAATGGAAAGCACATAAATGATCATCTCCCGAATATACCGATGATTAGAGTTGTAATAGAGTCGAATCAAACTGAGTGCGTCTTGGATTGGACTTGGTTTGATCATATCATAGTTTAATGAGTACTTTAATGAATTAATTAACAAGCTAAAATTTTGAATGAATACTTTAACTTTAATATAAAGTTGGTATTAAATAATATTTAAAATCTAAAAAATTAAGTAATTGAATAAATTTTAAATTAATAAATAAAAAGTTTACACCAACAAATAAGATAATTTATAAGTCATTAAGAAATTTTCTTGTAATCAAATAATATAAATGAGTAATAAGAAACCATTCCATTGAAAAAAGAAAAAAAATAATTATAATTAATTAATATGAATATTGTTAGATTATAACATATTCTATTAATTAATTATAATTACTATTAATAATTATAATTAATTAATAGAATATGTTATAATCTAACAATCATCAAATCTTTATCTTCTTACTACGAAACTTTCCCTTTTCTTATGAAAGGAAGTCGAAAAGCTTCACCTTTCACAGTAGCGTGGCGTTGAAGAATCAATCTCCTAACCCTCCACACAAAACCATAAAAAAGTGATTGGAAATCTCGTCCTCTCCACCGTTCCCGAATCAGAATCCCAAATCAACACCTGAGACCGATCACCGATCCATCGCCCGCCGATACCCCCACCGAGCACCCGGCAGCCGCCTCGACGTGATGCGTAAAAAATTTCAAAACACTAACCCTACCTTTCACTTTCATCCTCGACTCCACCTCCATGGTCCCCGATTTCAGCGGTGCGGCGGAAATGTCGAAAGACTCGACGGAGAATTTTACCCCCATGTTCTTGGTCCGGCCGCCGTCGATCTCACCGGCTGGGATGTAGATGAATCCGAGCTGTTTTCCGGCGTAGATTAGCTGGAGAGAGCTGTCGTAATGGGAGAAGGCGGCGCGGTTAGGGTTTCGAACGACGGCGTATTGTGCGAAGGTGAAGCTAACGGTGCCGTTGCGGAAGGAGAAACTGGGGATCTGGATGGCGGAGACGTGGATCGTTGGGGAGCGGGGACGGAAGAGGAAGAAGAAGGTGATTGCGAGGGAGGTGGTGACGAGGACGAGGAAACAGGCGGCGAGGGCGCAGGAAGAGAGGGCTTTGCCTCCGCCGCCGGTGTAGGTGGGGTGCCTGAATGGAGAATGGTAGTGGTCTGTTGATCGCGAAGGAGCCATGGAGTGAGGCGATGGGGTCCCTGTGATTCTTCTTTGTTTCACAGTCTTCTTCTTCTGGGAGTCGACTGGGTAATGGAGAGTGAGAGTGGGAAAGAACGGAGAGGAAATGCTCAGTAAAAATGAGCAGGTGTGTTGAAGAAGAAAAAGTATTTCGATCTGCTCGTAATTTACGTCTTTTTCGTTTTTTTCTTCTTTTTTGGGGGGGAAACTTTTTGTTTTAATTTGTTGCTGATTTTTAATGGGTTACTATTTTAATGATTGTAGATTTTACTTTTTTTTTTTTTTTTTACATTTATACCACTAAATTTTTTATGCATAAAAATATTTCTATTTTATTTTTTAAAAAAAGTAAAATATATATTTAAAACCTAATAAAGTAAAATATCAAGAGTAAATTATCATTGTTTGATAAAGGTCTTGAGGCGTGAAACGAATTTTGAGATATTTTTTTGAGCAAAAAAAACTTTCAAATAGTGATTAAAAATCATCTAGAACTTTCATTTTAAGAAGCTTACAGTAAAACTGGCCGGCTTGACTAGACGAAGGCGATAGCACTAACATTGACCCAAGCCGAGTCAAATCAAGCCTAGATCGAACTATTAAACTATTTTTGAAAGTTTATAGCCTTCATTGGAAGGTTAAATTAATTTCAATTCTGACAAGGATACATTCAAATCAAGCGTCTCAAAGAGAGAAATCCAACGAGGCCAAGATTATTCAATTATAACACCATTAAGGAATTAAAATGTTCGCAGAATGTTGTCCAATCAAAGGGATCTCTTCTGATCATCTGATGGAGTGGTAAAAATCATGTCCTTATTTGTCAGGAGAGCTCTTCTAGACTCTAAAAATATATTACTACCCCCTTCATGAAATGAGACTTAAGTCTTGGATTGGAGGAAGCACAGAGCTTGGAAGAGAAGGAGCTAAATTTCAGTATATTTTTGGACCGAAGACCCGACGAACGCTTCTAGCTTGTGCAACTGACGACCGCCGTCAATCACACCTTGCCAACCACATGCAAGCATCATCAACTGCTCAGTGTTCATTGCAATCATGTCCCTTATAATATCACGATGTACTGTGCAAAATCCCAATGTATGTTGCACAATAATAAAGCACCTTATAGAGCACCTCGAAAACGGTATAATGACGCACCCTGAGGACAGTGTAAAAACAAACTCGAATACTGTCTAATGATTAGAATGTGATTAGTTATTCTGGTGTTCTCTATAGAATTTTTATAATGTGGCTAATACATCGATTTTATGTGAGGAACCAACAGTTGTTTAATAAACAGATTGAGCCCAAAATCTTTGTTGTATAGTTTATATAAAGAATAAAGTAGGGTTGAAGCATAGTTTGGTACATTTTCTAGACCCTAATGACTATCTACTCATGATTGGCACCTGAACCTTGCCCCTTGATTTTTGGGAAAGAAAATAGAGATATGCCCCAACTATCACTCTTTCTACGTGCCCTGCATATGATGCAATCATGTGCCCCACATACGATGCAGCTACGCACCCCACGTATAGTACATTAACGACTCCCGAAGATTGTGTAACAACGAACCCTGCAATAACTGCTTATAACAATCTTACTAAGGATATGAAAACTTTCTTCGGACTCCTGAAGCTCTCCCTATAACTCATTACCTATGACTTACGTGACTATGGCATACAAACTTTATCACACCTCATATTGCCCCAAACTCTAATCTCTGCGGCCTACAGACATTTTCACATCACATTTAGCTCCCAACTCCGACCTCTATAGCCTATGAAAGTTATCACAGCTCATGTAGCTCCCAATTTCAGCCTTTGTGGCATACAAATGATATCACATCTTATGTGGTTCTTAACTAAGACCTCTATGCCCTACAAACTTTTTTACAGCTCCCTGACGACCTACTTGGCTCATAACTCAGTAACTCCCAGCTCCGGCCACTACCTTACAAACAAAATTATAGCTCTCTA